ACAATTGGGCTGATGGGCTCTAAGGCCATCTCCAAATCAATTGGATTATTCTCTAATGCTGCTGCATTTTTGGCTGCAAAATGGGGATGAACAGTGCCACTCCATTCCTCCATTACTATTCCCTATTATTATTATTATTATTATTATTATTATTATTATTATTATTATTATTATTATTATTATTATTATTGTTATTATTCTTATTATTGTTGTTGTTGTTGTTGTTGTTGTTGTTGTTGTTGTTGTTGTTGTTGTTTAACTCTTTTAATTTATCTCTTTATATATATATATATATATATATATATATATATATATATATATATATATATATATAATTATGTTTATATAATATTTATAATATTAATTTTATATCTTAACTTCGGTGTATAATTTTGATAAATTAATTTTCGTGCATTTATTATTTTTATGTAAAATTGTAAGTTAATTTTATTATAAGTTATAATTGTATAAAAAATATATATTCATCTCAAAAAATGAATGGTGCAAATATAAAATATAGATGTTGCTTAAATTGAAAAGTGATAACTGAAAATACATTATATATGATGAATATTGAAAAAAGAAAAAAGATAGAATTTCTTTAATAGAAATAAGAAAGTAAAATTTAAATAAAAAATAATAATATAATATTGAAGAGAGAAGAATATAAAATGAAACTTTTTTTGTGGAGTAAAAAATGGAGTAATGGTTGGAGTAACTTTACTCTATTTTGGAGGAGAAAATAGAGGCAAGGGTTGGAGATAGCCTAATAAGAGCTTCCAATTTGTTATAAATAGAATTGTATTTATGGTGAATGTCTATATTTAGAGAGATTCTAGGGTTTATTACTTGGTGGCTAAGTCACTCTCCCTATAAATAGAGGGTTCTATTCTATTGTAATTGATCCCAAATCAATAAGAATTCTCTCTCTCTACTTTTCTCTGCAATACTATTCTTCTTCTTATTTTATTGTTTCATAACACGTTATCAGCACGAGACTCTAACCAATTGAGTAGAAGCTTTGGGATTGAGCATAATGATTGTCAATTGTTCCATGAACTTCCTTCATGATTAAATTCTGAATTTAAGGTAAGTATCTTACTTTATTTTTCTCTTTTAGATTCTTGACATTCTATAATTTGATTTTAAATACAAGCAAAGACAATAAATCTTGATTTGAACTCTAATGGAGTTTGTAAGAAATTATAACCACTCGAAGTGGTAAAATTTCTATGTCTTGCCATGATCAAAGTCATGTATGATCGTGAGCACAAGAAGTGAATACCCGTCCCATTGAATTTGCTCCATTCTCATTCTCTTAAGAGAATGTGATAGCAGTATGTGATAAGTCTGAAAGAAGACAACATTATTACTATGAATATATCAATGGATGTGGACGTGGTAATAGACAAAATTATAATCGTCATTATCGTGGTAATGAGAATAATAAGGATTCTCAAAATAAGCCTTCACTCTATGAAGTTAATGTTTGTCATCGATTTGACATAACATTTCGTAAAGCACATACAGATGACTATGGTCAATTCATGATGTGAATGTGACAACATCTGATTTATGAATACATATTCATTCTTGGAAGAATATGAACATGCTAGTGGTAGTGAATATACCACGTACTCACCTCTAGAAGGAGGTTTGAGATTATATAAGAAAACAATATCATTATTATGGCATGAATGGTCATTGGTCACGTACCTATTGCACGTCGAAATATTTTGGTAGCGTGATTATTAAACAATAACATTAATGCAAGAAACATATCTTGCATATAATTTTGACCATAACCATAATGGTATAACTTTCTCTTTAAAAGAGATATTCACCATATGGATGTTGATGAATATGTGGTAGTACCAAATTAATTGAGAGCTCTGGAAGAGCCAATTATAACTATTTTGGAGGAATAAACTTGATTATCAATAAGGCATTGTGTCGTAGTAAGTCTCGAAGAAAACTTAATTGAGTTTCTAAAGTATTCGCGAAAGCGGTTGGTTATATTGAGACTATAAATAAAGGAAAGATTTAATATCTTCTATTACTACAACTTGTAGCGGGGTAATATGTATGTGAAAAGTTACTCGCTTTATTCTCCAGTTTGTGTACTACAACAAAATAAAAGTACCACAATAAAGTGGATGCTTATTGATATAAAAAATCCATATCATAATTAAACTTTGGAGTTTGTTGATAATTGCACACGTCATGGTGTAAATCTGAAGTTTATCAATATTGATAATTTATTCAGTTGGCATAATTGGTTTAGCCATATTAATTTAAGTATGATTGTGTAAAAATTAAAAAAAGAGAATTCACATTGGTAAATATTAAAGAACTAGAAAGTTCTTACGAATTCTCTTATGTTGTCTGTTCTCATTAATTAATATACCAACTAAAATTGGGATTGAATCCCATGAATGCTGGAAATATCAAAGGTGAATATGGGCCCATTCATCTGTCATGTATAACCAATAAGATGCATTTATTGAGATGGTTACGTATGCGATTATTATTAACCCGCAACATTGGTGTTTGCGAGGTAACTTGCTCAATTAATTTGATTTAGAGCATAATTTTCAGTTTTTTTATTCGAAAATAGTTCATCTTGATAAGTTGGTTTACATCACAATTGGTAGCAAAATGATTTATTGAGTGCCTCCACTTAAATAGCTAAACAATTGCTTATGAGAACAAAGTTATCTATATTCAATTTTGATATACGTCATATACCCAAAGTATATTATTTTTTCTCCCCTCACAAGTGGTTTCAGGATCAGTAACCAAATAATTCTATCTTATTATTATTGATGTGCGGTATATATTTGATTAACACCATAACGCACTAAGGTGAGTTCTCAAAGTTGAGGTACAAGTTAGTTTTCGTAACAGTGAGACGGGGGGGGGGGGGGACATGATAATAGTTGAGAAAAAGTTACGTGGAATGAATTATCATTTGTACATCTAGATCCTCGAATAAGATAATATGAACTTGAAGTTCATAAAATGATAATTCATTTGCAATATATTGCAAAGCATGCCAGACGCATTTGCTGACCCAAAGAAAGTAACTATATTCTCAATGCAAATGCTCATATTAAGTCCTAGAAGGACAAAGTCTGTGGTACGCTTAAGGCGTATAGACTAATCGGTTTCAAATAAACTTCTTGATAAAGAAGATGAGCAAATGATCTAAATGATCATAGCAAGAGGAGGCAAGTGATCTAGAAGATCACATGACATAACACTTCGTAAAATCTCATGAGAGATTCAGGTACCTGAATATATGAATGAAGAGATCTTTATGCTATGTCTTTATGAAAAATAAGGAGGTTGGAACCGATATAAAATGTTCGTCGACGACATCTGTGATACTGCTAAATATATATGAGGATCTTAAGTCTAGAGAAACAATTTCGAATAGAATTGGTTTCATATGAAAGACATGTAGTTTTGAACATGTAGTTCAAACACTTGAAAGTATAAAGTCAATGGTATGTGCAATCAGTTTTCGATATCTTATATGTCTAGCATGACATGAAAACTTGATATGCATCTAAAGTCTATTATATGGCTTATATGACTTAACAATCCCTGAAGGATTTAAATTGCTTAAAGCATATAGAATTCATGGTCATGAAGTACTACATCCTCAGTGCAATTTGTGCTCATGTATCTTGCTATAACTGTATGCATAATAATATGATAGCAAGAGTTTTCACCTCTATGTGAAGATATTGAACTGACGATTCCAACAAGATCATATGAAGACAATTCATCTCTATCAAGAATGATGATTTCAAGGTGCAATATATTCATTCAAGTTAATATGCCTGATTTGTTCATCAAATCTCTACCAAAGATCTTTTGAAGATGGTGTACAAGATTGGAATGCGAAGGCTCAAGGATGTGAATTGATGCTCTCATCAGGGGGAGTTAATGCGCGTTGCACTCTTTTTCCCTTACAAGGTTTTGTCCCACTGGATTTTCCTTGCAAGGTTTTTAACGAGGCAACCAAAAGGCGCATTTCTAAACATGTGTATTCTTTTTCCTTTTTTAGAATTTTTTCCCCACTGGGTTTTATTTTAGTTAAGGTTTTAACGAGACACATTATCTGTTGAATAGACATTCAGGGGGAGTGTTATAAATAGAATTGTATTTATGGTGAATGTCTATATTTAGAGAGATTCTAGGGTTTATTACTTGGTGGCTAAGTCACCCTCTCCCTATAAATAGAGGGTTCTATTCTATTGTAATTGATCTCAAATCAATAAGAATTTTCTCTCTACTTTTCTCTACAATACTATTTTCGTCTTATTTTTATTGTTTCATAACACAATTGTTATAGTTAATTTATTTTTAACCGGGAATAAAGGTCATTGCTGCTTTCTTTAATATTTATTTTTTTTGGCTACAATATTTCTTTATTATATATGTACTCCAAGTTCATTGTTTTATTTCTACTGCACTACTATCTTCCCTCAATATAAGCTATATGGTGAAGCTATTTTCAGCTTCAGAAAAGGAGGGGGGCTGGGAGTGCGTGCAGGGGAATTTCTAGCTTTTAGAAAGAAAGGTTGGTCATACTTGCAAATGTGGCTAAAACCTTGACAGCCTCAGTTTGCAATGTTATTTGCAGGTTCTGCAACATATGTTATTGTGACATAGTCATTGCTGCTATACGCTGTAATATCCTAGTGGAGGAACAACCTGTGTGCATCTGGTCTTGAATGATGATGATTAAAGCACCTACGGAAGTTTTAGGTAATTTATATAGCAATTAAAAAGCCAAGACCACAATTGTTTCTTTCTGATCTTCTTTTCAGTTTATATGGATGATTATATGTCATGTCAAATCTGGTTAAATTCTTAAGTATGCTCTCAGCCAGCTGATCACTCAACTGTTTCTTTGGCAATGTTCGCTTTGCAATCAACTGGAGTTATTTATGAATGACTCAAGAAAGAACAAAACGTGTCGCGCGGGGTTGAGAAATAGCCTCATTTATTACTAAAATTATCTCCAAAGAAGGACTAAAATATAGACATCCTGTGCTTCATACCATGTACAAGGTAGAATGATTAAGTTGCTGAAGAAAAACAAATTGTTAAGGTACATTAAGCTGCTGATGCCTAGAGCTGCTCGAAATAATTGAAATAAGCTCCTTCGCTGTCCATGTTACTTGTGCGAGTTTATGCAGGTCACTTATGAGCTCCTTATCTAATGGAGACAATTTCGCCAAATAATCTGAAAATAACAAAGACCAAAACTATGTAAAAAAAAATTTAAGTAGTTTCATGTACTATGTTGTGTGATAAAGTTAGATTAGTATAGCTTGCAATATACCATACCTGAATTGTTAGCCAGTTTGAGTAATGAAAGTGAAGCAAGAACTCTTTCCTCTATAGCATTATTGTACTTCAATAGCTTCATCAGCTCTGGAATTAGCTCCGAACATACTACAGACCGGACCCCTTTATCCTCGATGGAACAGAAAAAATTGCTCATCCAGGACACAGTAACTAGGCTTGCTCTCCCTAAACAGGGAATTCCATTGGCTATTGTATCTACAAGAGCAGCCAATAGCCTCTTGCTTCCACTGTTAAGCAACACTCTTGATGTTTTCCTTTGCCAATTTCTTGTTGCCTCTTCCTCTTCATTCTGAAACTTAGTAGAAGGACTAGGTGAATACGGAGTTTTCGTTAAAGTTCAATAGGAAAAAAGGGTCATGAAAAGGGGTAATTACCAGGTTCATATAACTGTTGAGGATGAAATTCTTGCCATGATATGAATCCCCAGTGTTTTCGTCGTAGCCTGCTTCTTTTAACAGCAATTTCTCTACTATTGGCTCTCCAGTATAGGAAAAACAACTCCCTAGTATAAGTAGAGCTCTAGCTGATTGTACTTGGACTTTCTCATTGAATACTTGACAGTCCATTGCTTTTATTATTTCTTCTATTACTTCTTCTCTATATACGCTGCACTCATTCGGATCTCCCTGCAGCATGACTGCAACTAAATGAGGATCTCTTTTTATAAAAGCGGGAATTTCTCTCCCCCCCCTAGCTCCTCGGGGGATGATTCTTTAAATCGGGGAAGGCTATAATGAAGACGGACTTACCAAAAGATCAAGCTGTAACAATATGACAGCGATAAGGGGGCGTTCTTCTTGTTGAGCTCTTTGGAGATATACTAGCAAAATGTGCAAGGTGTTCACCATTCCCCATCCACTTAGTAGACCACGTAAGAATTCTACTCTTTGAATTTGCCTGTTGTTTCATACAAAATTAGTACTTTTTCATTTGAATGCAAGAATAAGAAGATGTCATATGAGTAGTGCTAGGATAAAATCTTACTTGTCAATGCAGAGAAGCTCAGTGAGAAATGCAAAAATGTGTCCGCGAGCGATTTGCTGGTTTTGAAGCAAAAGAAGAGGAAGAAGACAATCTTTATTCAAGTTGTTGGCCAGGTAATGCCTGCAGCTTCCATCAGATTGAACACAATAGTACATAACAGAAACCACCTTACTCTTTTCTGAGACATCTCCCATTTCAACTCTTCTCAGCAACAACCCCAATCCCCCTAGTGAAATGACTTGCCTACAATTTTCAAAATTCTTGTCTTCATCAAAACCAGTAAGTAGTTGATCAAGTAAGTAATATGCAGCCTCTTGAGGACTACGTTGAACTGTGAATAACGTCTGCAGATGATCTGCGAATTCCAAAACTCGAAGTACTAATGGAATCCACTCAATAGATATCATCTGTTTAGCCTTAGGCTGCACTAGGTAAAGTAGAATTGCAGCCTTAAGAAACAGGCTGCTATTTCTCAATAGTCTCAAGAAGATATCAAGCTGTGAATCCGAGTTGAGAATGATTTGCCCATTCATCTCCCTCTTAGTGACTAGTTCTGCTAAGATTGAGATTGCTAGTTCCAAGATTTCATCATCTCCGGATGCAAACAAAACGTTCATTGTTCCTTCAATCAATGATGCTGTTGATAATGTCGTTACAATCTCAGGATCTCCACGAGAATCAAGCCAAGATTTTGCGACCAAACGGACTGCCAGTTCACAGTCACTTAAGCTATCTGAGGAGCAAATTGTGAAGATAGCTCTACTTAGATCATTTGAAACAGGAGGAGTGGTTTTTTCTTCCTTTCTGATGGAAACACTGCCAATCTTACTGTTTCCTTCTCTCAAGAACTCTACAGGCTCACTTTGACAATTGAAAAACCGGAAGTAGTCTGATTTTTTATGAGTCTGAGCCCACAGATCATGTTTCGGAGTTCTGTAACTTTGACTCTGTGATCTTCGATGAACCACTGCTTTCTTCTGTCAAAATCAATAATTTGGTTAGAGTTCTGATTATGCCTTTACAACAATCAATAGAAAGTAATATGTAAAGGATTCTTGGTCACTTACTGGAACATAATTGCCTTTCTTATTGTCATCTCCAATGGATGAAATCTTCTCTTCTTCTTCCTCCTTATAATCCCAAATTCCATTTCTTGCAACATCCATGGATTTCCTCTCCATAATCGGTCCAAAAACAGCTCGATATCTTCAGGATAACAAAAATCATTCAAACTCAAACCTATCCTAAGAAACATAGTACATAAAAAGAATAGTTTTACCATGATGTTGGAGTGTAACTTATGTAATTAAGAACATCCTATCTTACAGTGAGTTATTCTTGATGGAGGAATTGGAGGTGAAAGAATCCAAAGATCGTCTTCTTGAAGGCGAGTGACCGACTTTATTAGGCAAAGGCACAGAAGGAACAGCAGGGGCTTGGGCACCAACCTTGAGCCATTGTTTATAGTAAAGAGCAAACTTTGTTGTACCAATATCTATGTGGTCATTATATACCTTGTTTAAGGCTTTCATCTGCTTCTCTTTGTCAACACAATCCAAAGTTGAAAAAACTTCTACTTCCTGTGTATGCCAAATCTTGAGATGAAGAAGGTGAGGAAGAAACAAATGCTCCCAAAGTTCAGGAAGTAAGTGTGTCCGAGCAAGAAATGGCGAATCAACGAATACCTGCAGCAAATGCCTAGCTGCAATTCTCTCATTTTTTTCTAGCTTGTAAACAATAGATAAGTAGAGCTGTGCACAAGCAGAGAGATTGGAATTGGGAATTCCACAAGTTGAGATATTTCCAGTGCTGTTGGAATTCAAAGATGACACAATTGTTAATAGCCTAATAGAGTATTGCAAAGACTTAACTTTTACTTCCCTTTGAGTATCATCAATACTCTCAACTAGTCTCTCTATACTCTCAATAGCCAATTCCATATCTGCAAAAATCCCATTATCTGAATTATGATTCTTCTTTCTCACAAAACAAGCATAGCATTTCTCCTTAATGGTTTCGCGAAAATCTTTGTCCCTCAAATATTGTCCTACAAAGCCACTAAGTATAGAAATGACAGCTCTAATAGCAACTTCATCAATAGCAGGCTCATCTCTTCTTGGAATATTGACTTCAACAATGGACTTTACATTTGATCTTTTCGATGAGTGGACCGAAGAACTAGAACTGGAAAAGGGTTTTCGGGATTTGTTCTTGGAGAAATCCAAGGATGATCTTCTGTCATGGCAAATGTAAATAGGTAAAGCAATGTTGGAATCTTCTTGAAAAGTTTTTCTGTCTTTGAACTTGACTTTTCTGTGAGTTTTTGTAGGTATTCTTTTTGTACTCTCAAAACCTTCTTCAACTAGCAATTCTTGAAGAGAAGCCATTGGAATAAAGATGATATTGGATTGTGAACAAAGGGTGTTGTGACATTCTTTCTTAATTGTACAAGATAAACAGAGAGAGTGAGAGACAGAGAGAACAAGAGAGAGCCAAAAGAAGATTATGACTGGTTGATAAAAGCCAAAAAAATGAGACAAGAATCGATGGGCTGGTTTTCCAATAACTTTGTTAACTTCTAACAGTTGTGTGAAAATCACTTCTTAGAGATAAATAACAGTTATGTTAAGCAACCTTGTTATCTCGTCGAAAAATTACACTGTATATACAAGGTTAATTTTTATTTATTTATATATAATAGATGTTGAATATCTTGGTGAAAATTTTGTCTCCGTCACTACTTGTTAGAACAAAAGTAGCCCGGTGCACTAAGCTCCGCTATGCGCGGGGTTTCGGGAAGGTCTGGACCACAAGGGTCTATTGTATGCAGTCTTAACCTGCATTTCTGCAATAAGCTATTTTCACGGCTCGAATCTGTGACCTCCTATTTACATGACAACAACTTTACCGTCGCTACTTGTTAGTATAGTAAAAATTCCATTTCCCTAAAACAGAGAAGCCTCTTGATTTGGAAAAGGAAAAAAGAAGATGTGTAAGTTTAAAATGTGGTTAGAATTTTTAGAGCTATGGATGAAAAAACATATTTAAGGTTCATTAAATAAGTAAAAGCATTGATGTGGTTGTCAAAGTATGAGACAAAATTACAGCTTGTTTTGAAGCTGAGAGAGCACATGAGCTGCATTGTTCAATGGGGTCCTCTTCAAATATATCTCCAGTAGTCCCTTTATAATAGGGAAATTTATAAAGGGCAAAACTAAGAGAAGAAAAGAAAATTCATCATCAGAAAATTATTAGTTTGAAAAGGGTAAACTTTGGGACCATAGAAGAGAATGTCTGCCTGGAAATGTTGACTGCTTCCCTTCAATCAATCTCCTACCTCATCCCCCCAAATGAAAAATAAAATGAAAAAAGATACAGAAAGCTGCCTGGAATGATTGATACCTCAAAAGAAAGTAATATTAATTAGTATAGCATATTCAAGTTCAAAAAGATTTTTTAAGCCTTTTGTTTTAATATCATTCATTGTCATATGAAGATATTACTAAAAGTTCAGTTTGGATAAAAAAAAGACTGTTTTGTTAGTACTTAGGGCTCGTTTGGCCATAAAATAGATTCCCTTTTCAGAAAAAAATCACTTTTTCGGAATCAATGTTTGGCTATGAAAATTTTAAATTTTGCTTGAAGTTAAATATTGAAAAAATTTTAGAATTTGAAAAACTGCAAAAAGTTATTTTCAAATTTTTCACTTGAAAGCTCACAAAATTTCAAAAACGGCTCCAAATTATATTCATGTCCAAATACAACTCTAATTTTCAAATATCATTTTCAACATGAAAAAAAAAATCACATTTTTCTGAAATTTCATAATTCTTATGTCCAAACGCCCACTTAGTATTGATAAATTCGTAAAATTCCAAGATGTGAGCTTAGATTATCTTGTGAAACAGACTTATCGAGGTTTCCTAGTTATGAAAGGATAATATTCCTTAATTTAATTCAAGGGAAATAACATAGGCTTAGTTTGTGTAACAAGAGTGTCTCATATAAAATATAGAACACATGAAGTGGTGAGAATACCTATTTATTAATCAACAGAAAGATTGAAACGATAAGGATGTTCATTTATTGTATTGTATGATTACAGAGGTAAGTCTGGTAGAAAACTAAAGTTGGGAGTGGAGTGGTTTGGCCCATTTGACAAGTATATTTTTTGTGAAGGGACCAAAAACAAAAAAGCTACACCTACACAGCAACTAAATATGAGGTGTCAAAGGAAAAGAAGGAATGTGAAAGTCATCACTGATGCTAACGTTCATGTGGCCTTATTGACATTTAGTGGTTTTGGTCCCTTGTCTTCTCTCTTTCATTTTCTATCTTTTTCGATAATGTAATGTCGTACAAATAATTGACACTAGGAATCCCACTTTAATAAAAGAAAATTCTATGGAGCCGTCAAAAACTAAAATGCCTTCAAAGGTAACGGCGAAGGTAAGAATTTCATCAAGGAAATTCAAAAGTTCCTTTGTTTTAGCTTTTCCATGTTGCATTTGGAGGTTTAGTAACAAACCCTCAAACTTATATAAAGACTAAAAAGGTGAGAGTTTGAGTAAAAGTACAAATTATTAAATTTTTATACATATATTTCCTTGTTAACTTTTTTAGCCCCTTCTGAATTTCACAGAAGCATAAATATCATTAACGACCTAAACTGAAAATGATTTTGTTTTAGCTAAGCACAATGGCCAGTCTTACAAGTAAAAGAAAAAAGGAAAGAGGCCCATTCTTCTACATTTAATAGACCATTTGCCCATATTTGGGCCTTCAGTTTGATGGGGAAGTGCACGGTTAGCCACTAATAACATATGTATTTACTTTTAAGCCGTTATTTAAAATGTCTTTAGTCTTTAGAATAAACTTTAACTGCCCGGACGAAAATACCCTTCTGCTCATGTCCTTAACTTTTGAACTTAACTTCAGGACTACATGTCCTTAACTTTTGAACTTGTAACTCTAAGTTCAGGACTTCAGGACTACATGTCCTTAACTTTTGAACTTGTAACTGTAAGTTCAGGACCAAATGTCCTTAACTTTTGAGCTTATTAATCTAAGTTCAGGACCAAGTGTCCTTAACTTTTGAGCTTATTAATCTAAGTTCAGGACCTATTGTCCTTAACTTTTGGGCTTCTTAGCCTAAGTTCAGGATCTATTGTCCTTAACTTTTGAACTTGTAACTGTAAGTTCAGGACCTATTGTCCTTAACTTTTGGGCTTCTTAGCCTAAGTTCGGGACCTATTGTCCTTAACTTTTGGGCTTCTTAGCCTAAGTTCGGGACCTATTGTCCTTAACTTTTGGGCTTCTTAGCCTAAGTTCAGGACCTATTGTCCTTAACTTTTGAGCTTGTTAGTCTAAGTTCAGGACCAAGTGTCCTTAACTTTTGAACTTGTAATTCTAAGTTCAGGACCAAGTGTCTTTAACTTTTGAACTTGGAACTCGAAGTTCAGGACCAAGTGACCTTAACTTTTGAACTTGTAACTGTAAGTTCAAGATCCATAGCGTAGCAGAAAACCAAACGTTATTTGTATCTTTTCACAAAAATAATAATAATAATAATAATAATAATAATAATAATAATAATTGCAATTTACATATAAGATTGATGTCAAATTACACAACAGAAAGCTAATAACAAAAAGAAACAACTAAAAAAATAAAAGACTACAGAACCTAACCAACCAAAAGAAAAAGAAAAATAAATAAACTTGGAATAGTGGTCTGCAACGCCGAGGAAGTGGTCTGCCTTTGAGTTTAGGAAGTGGGATGAAGTTGGGGAAGAACTTACTGCATGGGGAAGAGAAGTAACGAGTTTGGGAAATTTTGATCAGGAGTAAGGGTTTTGAAATTTTGATAGAGGGTTTGGGAAGGAAAAGAGATAGAAGAAAGGGTAACTTCTTCTTTTCATATTAATTTTAATAGAGTAGTGGCTACTTTTGCGCAGTATTAAAAATGCTGGATAAAAAATAAATACCACTTTAAAAAGTGGCTACCCCACGCCATTTCTACTGGAAATTCGCAGAAATTAATTGATATGTCTCCTTCAAATCATTATATTTTCTACGTCCATGTTTATGAGATTTTGTGGGCTCAATAAATCCTATTGGAACAGTTGGACAGCTTTGGGGAAGTTTTTCCTAATGTGGATATAACGCTGAAAATTACCTCTTACCTGCAGCTCATACCAAAAGGAAAAAAAAATCATTGTGCCGTGTGTATTAATTGTCTTTTTTTTTTGAGTCATAAAAGGAAATTATATTGCATACTAAGTAGTAGTTAACATATTACAACCCATATTGTCAGTACTAAAAGGCATCAGGGTACATATCCCTGTTTCGAAAGGAGTGTCACCACACTTTGATTTCCTAGAGTTTTTAGCAAATTACAAGTAGAAGTTGACACTTGCTTCACAAAACAACTTTCCCTGCATAAGTCTTTATCATAAAGATGCTTCACAAAAGATGGAGGATCAGCAAAAGGTTTTATATCTCCTGGCTTGTAACATTTGTTTTCTTTATTTTTTGCTTCCTTGGCTAGTGCGTCTGCCACTATATTCCCTTGCCTGAATTTATGCCGGAGAAGGAGTCCCTTCTTCTGGTGCATTAACGATCTGCATGATTGAATTAGGTTAGTTAAAGTTGCATGTCCATTATTGATGGCATTCATTACCTCCGTTGAGTCAGTATCTATTTCTATAGGGAATAGATCAAACTTCACTACTAGTAGAAGTTCTTCGTGGAGTGCCTGTAATTCCAGATGTAGTGGGAATAAACCCTTGCAGTATTTATTAAAACCTAGTATCCATTTTCCAGTACAGTCCCTGAATACACCACCTATGCCACTGTACTTTGCCATGAAAGCCCCATCGATGTTTAATTTAATCTAGTTTTTCTAGGGAGCATGCCAACTAATTTTGATTTGAATTGTATCTTTTGTAAGTTGGTTTGTGTTTGTCATGAAGTGAAATTCATGTGAGTAATTAAGGATCTTTTGCAAGGAAGGTCTATGAGTAGTGTTGTTAATATTGTTGATGTTCCTATTTAGCCAAATTCCCCATATTACAAAGGCTAGAAGGTCTTGCAATTCCATATGAATATGAGATAAGTTCCTTCTAGGAGTAAGGCCTTTTAATTGCATTAGCCAGTGAGAAGTGTTGGTGGTATTTAGGTTGGGAAACCCTAGATTATACCAAAGTGTTTGAGTTATAGGGAAACTTATGAATATGTGGATAGGGGATTCCTCTTCCAGTCGACACACAGGGCACGTGTTGTCAATATTGATCTCTATTTTGTGTAGCTATTGACGGCATGGAATACGATTGTGCAGACATTGCCATATAAAATATTTTATTTTGCTAGGACATTTTAGCTTCCACATTCACATGAAATCATATTGAGGGTTAATATTGTTATCCTTAATGATATTGAGGCAGCTCTTACTAGTGAAAAGGCCATTAGCGTTGAGCTTCCATATTGGGGTGTCATTGCAACCATGTTTCAGAGGCATAGGGGTTAAATC